AGCGAGGACTCCGTCCCGGAGACCGTGCACCATGTGGTGCTGTACATCGATCCGTGCCCTTTTTTTTGTGGCCGAGGCAAAAAAGCTGTGAAGTCCTAGAGGACCATCCCATTCAAATATATATATATAGTCATATAGTACTATATTATAAATCCGTGGGGATAATTCTATGATCATATAGAATTGATCTATATGTGGGGTTAGTTTAAAATATCATATATATATATGATGTGGGCTTAGTTTTAGCCACTCATGGGACGATCGAAATTCGAAAAAGTGGAGTAAGCCGGGTCAGCGAAACTTGCGATCCCTGGGATGATCCTCCAAGTTACCCTCCATGACTGGGCCCAAATGAACCAGGTCCAATACTCAATGGATTGGTTTAGGGGAAAATTTACAGGAAAGCCCCATATTTAATGGGAAAATCTATGGTTTCCTGTAGATTTTCCCTTAAACCAATCCATTGAAATACTGGATGATACTGGATGGATATGGGGATTTGGACTAATTCACCACTGAAAAAACAGGCCCAGTTATAACCAGTTCTAAGTCAGGACTTGTCACCCCATTTAAGGAATGATCCGTCGATTTATAACATGTTATAACCATGTATAGCCATTTATAACCATGTATAACCAGTTATAAGCATGTTACAAGCATGTTATAAGTTGTACTCAACGGCTATTTCGGGCTTTAACGAGATGGGGGATGTGCCAAGGAAGGCCGAGATGACCAGTCCAGGTATCAAGATCTGCAGTGGTCGGATGCTGAGATCGCAGTTCGCGCCAAGGCACCAAAGGACTGCCGCTGGGATGGTGGAATCTCAAATCGCCCTATACACAAAACTCATATATATACATATATATGTATATATATATATATGTATATATATATATGTATATATATGTATATATATAATTATATATATATGGTATATAGATAATAAGAATGTATGTATATGTATACTGTATACATACATAATAATAAATAATTTATAATAACGAATAATTAACAATACGTAATTAAGAATCAATAATAATAATTAATAATGATAATTAATAATAATAATAAATAATCAGTATTACTAATACTTATTAATAACAATAACTAATAATAATTCATTATAATAATTAATGAATATAAACAATAATTATTAACAATAATTATTAATAATACTTAATAATTATGGTTAATAATAATTAATAATAATGATTAATAATCATAATTAATAACAATAATTAATGTTAATAATTAATTAATAATAATAGTTAATAATATTATATGTATATGTATACATACATAATAATATATATATATGTATATATATATACATGATTTTACATGACATGCATATATATATATATGCATGTACATACATGAATGATACACAGATACTGAAACATAGATGTTTGTCTACTTACAGACTAGCTATTTGCTGATTCATTCATTGGAAAGTTCCGCAGAGATGAAACGAAAGAGACTGGGTTGATGGGTCCCAACTGTGGAGAAAGGGTTGAGGACCAATGTATTGTACCCCCTAGAAGCCCTTAGAGTTAACTCTAATAGATAGATAAATAGAGAGATAGATACTGTAGATAGACAGATAGACACAGATGCACAGATACATATACAAACACAGATATGCGTATACCCAGCATGATTCACGATGATATCTACGTGAATTTACTGGTTATGAGTCTGAGTCTGGCAAAGGTTCCCTTGTCCAGGAGCAGCCTGAATTGGATGGTGTCCATACAAAGGCGTCCATGTCTTCGATCGACAGGCCTGGGCAATGACATTCCTGCCAAATGGATTGGTTTCCTTGGGAAAATCGGGAGAAACTATGGCCTTTCCTATGAAATATGGGGTTTCCTGTAAATTTTCCCTGAAACCAATCCATTTCCCTGTTGAAATTCGGTCTAAGACTTCCCAAGAAATGGCCTGGGAAGCGGATTTGTGCGGATGGAGAGAACTGGCGAAATCTGGCGAATCCCTCACTTGCCGCACTGAACATTGGCAAAGTTTGCCAAACATCTTTAGCAACAAAAACTGTAGGATATGTAAGATCTCTAGAATCTGCAGGACCTACAGGATCTGTAGGATCTGTAGATCATGATCAATAGATGGATTGGGTCCGCCACCCCTGCAGTAAACATCCGGAAGCCTTGAAGCTCTCCGAGAAGATCAAGGTGATGAAGCCCAAAATGGCCAGGGCCTTTGGCAGTTGGTGTGGATGTGGATAGGGAACTTCCTATGGGCTGGATGATATTTGGGTACGGATCAATACCCAGAAACACGATTGTTTTGAGTCGGAGCATCCATGAGATTCCATCAGCACCAGCTATTTTGATGCTGAGGTGGTCAAGATCGCAGATGCCTTCGGAATGTGGGGGACGTAAAGAGGGCGGCAAACCGCACATGTATATATATATATAATATGTGTATCTTTGACACACACACACAGATATACATATATATATATATATATGTATATATATATACACATTGTAGATGTATCTGTTGGTCCAACTGCAACTTCCTTTGGAGGGATCGCATGTAGCCTATATTTCATTGCAGTCTCTCTTAGTTCTGGCAGACCAGATGTCGTACTGCAAAGGGAAAACCAGGCGCAAGCACTCCGCGTTTGACCATGAAACTGCAGTCGATATCCGAGAAAAGTCAGGATTTCACCAGCCAATTCTGCTGGGTTTACCTACAGAAAAATCTTAGTCCCTGTAACGTTTCAATTTCACTGGCGCCGAAGGTCACAGTGCTTGGTCTTTTGCCGAACCAATGTGGACTGTCCGGAGCTCCCGGGAGTTCCAGCAGTGGGACGATCAAAACACGGGGATTGAAAAATGGCTAAACCAATGTGACAAAGCAAAAGCAACTCAGGATGTCACCAGATAACTCAGATAACTCAAGACTGAAGCAGTGACAAGAGTAGGGTGAACCATGAGACCCACCCTGGCACGCAGTGACAAGTTGTGTCAAAACTTCGCGCGGTGGGATTTCCGACTCGGCACGCCACGAGGTAACAACCTCGAAGACTACTTGAACCGCCTGGGAGGGACCAAGGTTGGGGGAAGACACGAGCCAAATAGCAGCTCGAAGCAGAGATTCTTGGCTCAACCGAACTAGGTAATCAAACATGGCTGTGGAAAATCTCCATTTTTAATTTGTAAATCAACTATAAATGATTATAAATGGTCATTTTCAATAGCTAAGTTGAATTACCATAGGGTACCTTTGGGTAATCAAACATTACTGAAACTCCCCGAACTCAATGAAGGTTTCTAGCTGGGAACTTGAAGAGAAACTTTGCGCAATGAAGGACGTCAAATTGCCATTCAGGATCGAAACCACATGAATCGTAATTATCTCTTGACATCTTAGCTACCAAATTGGCATAGTTGGGTGCGTCCATTCATTTTCTTATATTGCCATTCATTTTTGCCTTGAGAATGTCGCTGGCATTGGTTCAAATCAACCCACGGACACATATTAATCCCATTGGTGTGAACATCCCCAGTCTATTTTGTCATATTGGGCAAGATTTTGGAAACACATCTACTGGGAATGTATCCACGGTGTGCTCCGTTTGGGATTTATACCCTACATGGGGCATCCCCGATTATATATGGGTGGCCCCAAAACGATCCCCGGAACAGGGTGATGTTTTCGGATCCCGATTTCCGAATCCCGGACAGGCCTATGGTGGCAAGATGGAGACGGGCAAAGAGACACTTGGAGAAAAAGGGACACAGATCCAGTTCTGGTTTAATGAATGTTTAATGATAGCGTCACCATTGATGATGATGATGATGATGATGATGATGATGATGCTCGTGATGATGCTGGTGGTGGTCGTGGTGGTGACTCGGGTACCTCTAGGATTAGGGCATTGCATTGCTACAAGCCACCCTTGGACTCAGCGGACTTGATGTCACTGGAAGATGTCACCCTTTTGTCATGGCCAAGATTGGAGAAACTATCCTAACATCGCAGAACTATTCATTGAACAGTGAATTGCATGTATATATATATATACTGTATGTATATATATATACTGTATGTATGTATATATATATATATCATTGTTTATCCAAACATATAGTTGATTCAGTGCCTGAAAGAGTCGAGCTAACCTGTGGCAGCGGCCTGTGCAACCCAGCTATCATCCCCAATGGGCATATCATTATACCTATTAGATTTCATTATACCGAATATGTCAATATGCAAAAAATAGTATGGTATATATCGTTGTACACAATACTGTATATATATACAGCCAATGTTGGTAAAGCAATGTCATAAACCATCCATATTTTGATGATTTAAAGCACCCATAAAGATGAGAAAATTGGGGATGGCGTACTATTGCTTTGATAACATTAGTAGCAACCAGCACCGAGGAATCCGTACTCCTGTGTCGTCTTGGCCGGGATGCGCAACCAGGTTGGCCGCATGCGCGAATGGAAACCTGGGGATGAGAAAACATAGAAAAACTGGAGAGTTGACCAAGCCATAGTGAGTCATTTTTTTTTTGGAGATTTCAATATGAAGATGCACATGGTCATTGAAGATGATGTAACCAGCAAAGACATGCAGATTTCACCATCAGCAGTTGGGATTTCCATGGATTTCCCATGATTTGATCACCGAAAAATGGATTCATGGATTTTTGTCAATAGGCATTTGCCCCCAAAAAGCCGGCCATCAAAGCATGAGGAAAGCTGAGGCTTTAACGGTTTCAAATGTAGGGCTTGGGGCCTGGGGGTACCCCAGAAATAGAGACATGCGCACAGTGCTTGGAGGTGGTGGGGTAAGTTTTTTCTCACGATTGTTGCCGCATGTCCCACGAGTACCGCTTCGAGAGCAGGATGAGAGACGATCCAATTTGGAGTCCTTCAAAGAGGGTGATGCACCTTGGCGACCAAAGATGGGACGTCGACCTGGGATGACCTGGGACTGCCCATGGATGTGTTTTTCCACCATCAAAAAACCTCTGGGATTCACATCTACAGAGTGGAAACCATGTGTGAAACGGCCCTGAACTCGGATGGAAACCCAAGCAGCGTAGGCATTCTGGAAGTGTGCCAATCATTTCTGAAATCCCACGAAAGGTCAACGGGATACGAAAGTGGGGCCGCCACAAATCGAATGCGAATGTCAGCAACAAAATTTGCAAAGATGGGAACCTACGTGCTAAAAGTTCGACAAGTGCTTGAAGACTGAGGAAAAAGCTGTGTGACTGCGTAGAGCCATTCGACATTGGGTTTGTGATCACCCTGTTTGGGGCAAAGTTCTTACTTTGTCATGGTTTTCTACACCTATCTTAATAGAACATCAAGGTTTGCTTACTTGGCCTTGATGGTCCCAAAATATGATGTTCCTCGTCCTGTTCGCTACTTCACAGCCATTTGTACCTCAAAAGATTTTGGTACCTTGCGAACAGCAAGAATGGCGTCAAGCAACACCTCTCCAAGTCTTTCAGCCAGCCAGGGCCTGCGCACCGGCAGCTTGCCCTTGCCAAAGAAACCCGCCCCAGTCCCTGAGTTTGAGGAGGAGCCGACAGATGTGCCGGATCCCGCAGATGATCGGTTTGGTGACTCCCAGGTGGATGAGATGAAACCCATCCGAAGGTCTTTCCACTCCTGGACAGATCCCAATGAAGAACCTGAGATCTTCCAACCCAACCACTTTACCCATGACCTCTACACAGGCTATCTGGAGACGTTCATGAGGGAAATGAAGGACAACCAGCAACTCTTCAAAGCAGTCGTGAAGCAAAGGCGTCAGGACTGTGGATTTCAGGAACCTTCAAGATCTTCAAGTTTTGATCGCTTCTGGAACAGGGTAGGCTTCACTCGTTGAGGCTTGGTTTGGTGATGACACGGATGACACGACCCCCATTCTTTCTGCATGTGCCAACGGCTTTTTCCGCGGCATTTTCCGCGAATCCAGGATGGAAAGTCGATGGATTTGCTGCCGAAGCTGATTTTTTGGGAATCACAGATGATTCCTTCATATTCCTTCAAATTTGCAGATGAAGAGAAGGATTCTTCTGCACTTTGCACATCTTTTGCACATCTTTTGCACATCTTTTGCATGCACATCTTCGCACCACCGCACAGTGTGGCTTTTCCACCGCACATCCCATTTTCCACAGCATTTCCCGCAGCAAGTGCAGCGGATTGGCTGTCAGGAAGCAGATGGCAGAAACGCCGCCGCCTTTTGCGCAGCAAGTCTAGCTCCGTTGGGGATTGGCTGGAAGCGGATGGCGAAAACGCCGCCGCCTTTTGCGTTGCAAATCTACGGCTTTGCGATCAGCGGCCAAAAGATGTGTTTCGGCGAGGCTCAAACTCCATGGTTTGCGGGTCCCTAAACCCAATTTCCCGCACAACACAAAACAAATTTCCCGCTTTCCCGTCGTCCAAAACTGATCCCAGTTGGGTGTTCAAAATATTTCAACCGCAACCGCAACAATGGTTGGTGATGATGGCGAGTCAGGTCCGCTTTCTGATCTGCACGGACGTGGCAGCTCGCGGTATTGATATTGCTGGTTTGCCCTTTGTCATTCAGTGCCTCAGCTTCGTTGTCACGAAAGGTTAGTGACGGTGAGTGGATTCCACCGGGATCAATGATGATCAACAATGATTAACGGATACCTAGCTGCCTGATGACTATGCTTGTATACTTCATTTACATGTGCATATATGTACGTATGTATATACAGATACATAATGCACATATATATATGTACACATTATATATATATACACGTACACATTATATATATATGTGCACATTATACATATATATATATACACATGTGTGTATATATATATATACTGTATATAGATATGTAGCAGATACATATGTATATACATACACGTAAAAATATGTGTATACACATATACAGATCTAATCTATCTATCTATCTAGCTAGCTGTCTGTCTGTCTGTCTGCCTGCCTGCCTGCCTGCCTGCCTGTCTGTCTGTCTTTCTATGTATATATATATATATAGACATATGTCTAAATATGATATTATAGACATATATATATATATACATATAATATCATATATACATACACACATACATTGTGGGATAACCCCTTCTTTCGGGGACGTACTGGGCGCCAAGTTTGGGTTTCCAATGCCGTTGTTCTGGGCGGCTGGTTGGTGTCTCTGACATCTCTGGCCGGTCTTGCGAGAGATTTTGACCTGATGCTGTGCCAAGGACAACTCTTCCAGACGACATTGAAAACTACATTCACAGAATTGGTGCCAGTCGCAGTTGGGAGGGGAATCCATTGAATCCATCACGTTTGAAAATTGAAGCTGAGATGGGTGGCTCAGTTTACCATCACAATCTTATGTCTGTCTCTGTGTTGGATGACCTGATCTTTTTTTGTGAACTGACACTCCGATCCACTCTTTTCAGGGGCCCAAGACGCCAAGACTTTTTTCGGGGATTTCCCAGCGAGGCGATTGATGGTTGTGACTAACAGTGAAACCCATGGTATAGATGGCCCATAGAAATAGATGATTTACCTGGGTTTACCGTTCTTAAAAATGGCGGATCTTTCCATGGCTATCTTAAGTAGCCAGAGGGTATCCATTGTTATCAACGAACACCATTGTTAACCACTATCAACTATTATTAACTGTCATTGAACATAATTAAGCATTGTGAACTATTAGTAACTATTATTAGACATTCATCTTTAAGCGTTATTAACCGTTATCAACCTTCATTAACCATTATGTTAACCATTATATTGACCGTTTTATATTAACTATTTTTTTAAAGCAATTATTTCACCATTATATTAACCATTATGTCAACCGTTATATTGGATATTATATCGGCCATGATATTAGCCATTATATCGACCGTTACTGGTTGGTGGTTTGGAACATTTTTTATTTTCCATAATATATGGGATCATCCTTCCCATTGACTTTTATATTTTTTAAGATGGTTAAAACTACCAACCAGTTTATATTTACCATTCTATTCACCACTATGATATAATTATATTCACCATTATATTCACCATTATATTGACCATTATATATATATATATTAACCAGTTTATATTTACCACCAACCATTATATATACCTCATTTCTGTGGTTTCCACGAATCCCCTAAACGTGGCGCTAAGTACGTCCCAGAACGCCGCGAACGCCGTTCCGCTTTACGAATCAGGACGTTGCGGGCGCGCGGAGCGCATGGGTCTGGCCATCTCCATCGCGACGTCCTGAGGGGTGAGATTAGGTTATTTATGGGTTAATATAATGGTGATATTAATGGTTAAATATTGGGTTAATATGGTGATAATATGGTGATATTATGATATTATGATATTAACCCATTAACCCAATATTTATGGTTAAATAATATTGATGGTTAATCATCATATTAACCCATAAATAATAGGTTAACATCATATTATCATAGGTTAAATATACATAATGGTTAATGATGATTAATAGAATAACCATTATGGTTAACCATTGTTATTATCATTATAACCATTATGTTAATTATATTAACCCATTATCATTGTTAACTATCCATTAAATATACAATTTGTATATTAACCATTGTTAACCATTGTTATACATTATGGTTGATGATACATAACAATATAATGCTTAATCATCTTATGGTTACTATACATAATGGTTCATGATGATACAACAAATGGCTAATATTTATGGTAAACATACTAATGGTTATTTATGGATATGATCAGGTTAATATAATCATGGATTAATATAATGGATAATGGTTAATATAATAATGGGTTAAACAGAGGTTGATATAAACTATTGAAATAACCTGATAAACCATTGAAATTACAATGGTTAAACATGGTTGATGATGGATGATACAACTTAGTCATGAGATGATAGAATAGATTTTAATGGTTAACATGATGGTTGATATAATGGTTAATATCATGGTAATGATTAAGAATAGTTTAGTTTAATCGTTGATAACCATGGCTAATATGGAGATACCGGTAGTTCAACGTAGCTTGCTGGAAAGTCTCCCATTGAAACCTCCAGTTAGTTCGGGGGTTTCCGATAGCTACCCTCTGGTAATTTAACATAGCTATTGAAAATCACCATTTTTAATGGGAAAATCCACTATTAATGGTCATTTTCAATAGCTACGTTAAATTACCAGAGGGTATGTTTGATTACTGGAGGGTATTTTTTCAGCAAGATGATAGACACATACAGTGCATGATACTGGAAAGGTACTCGTAAGGTGAGGTAAGGTAAAGCTAAGGAAGGGAAATGCACTGTCTAATGTAATGTCTAACGTAATGTCTAATGTAATGAAATGCAATGCAATGTAATGAAGTGTAACGTAAGGTAAGGTAATGCAATGTATGATATGTATGGTGTGCATGGTATGCATGGTACGCATGGTATGCAAGGTATGCAAGGTATGCCATGCAATGTATGTAATCCATGCAATGTATGTAATGTATGCAATATATGTAATGTATGTAATGCATGTAATGCATGTAATGTATACAATGTATGTAAAATAATATAATGTAATGTAATGTAATGTTTTGTTATGCATATAATATATACTAATGGAGTGCGATGTGTATGTATATATATACATACACATACACATATAAAGGCCTGATGGTATATATAATAATAATGATGATAATAATAATAATATAATAATAATAATAACAATAATAATAATAATAAAGAGGTTATGGCATATCTGTTCGGTGGTGTCAAACACTTTTTTCAATTTCTGTGAGATGACTCAGTAGAGTGGGAGATGGGTTGTTCGAAAAGAAACAATTGTTATTTTCAACCCTACCATGATGATTCCAAATGACCATGATTTTTGAGGGGGTTGAAGCCGCCACCCACAAATATGTGAATATATATATATACATGCACACATATACATATATGCAATTGTATATGTGTATGTGTATGTAGATGTAGATGTACTGTACATGTATATGGATATGCATATGCATATGGAGAGTGTATATGTATGTGTATATATATACATATGTATATGTACCTGCATACTAGGATACATGTGTATATATCATATTATATTATACGACATTATATATTATACTATATTATATTATATTATATTATATTATTATGTTGTATTATATTACATTATATTACACTACATTATATTACATTATATTACATTACATTATATTATATTATATTATGTTTTACTATTTTCTATTTTATCATATTATATTATATCGATACGCACACACACACACTATGTATAGTACACTGCATATACATATATACTTATCATAGGTCTATTTGACATTTGAAGGTATATTTAGTGGCATTTCACCAAGAAGGACGGATTTTGACCGAATGAACAGTGGATGAGTATCCTCTATTATTTCAACCGTTTGTGTCAACTTCAAAGGTGGTCTTGAAACAAGTTGCCATGTGGGGTCTCAAAGTGTTGGAATTTCTATCATCTTCCCTGGTAAAATTCCACTTTCTGGGGAACCCCCCCATTCTCAGGTTGCGACTGAGAAGGAAAAGGTGTGGTACCACAAGTGTCCTTCCAGGGGCAAGGCGCGGGACTTTCTGGCCTTTTGGACGGTCAGGCATGGATCCTAGAAGGTGGAGCACCGTTTTCTAAAAAAGGCTTGGTATCTTCGGTGGTTGTCTTACTGGTGCGTTTTACGTTGGGTTGCTGGATGGGTTGCTGGGGGTTGCTGGGATGATTATTACTAGTGATCCTCATTCCCTGCTAAGCACTGCTAAGCACTAAGTTGTTCAGTTGTTCATCATTTTCCCAGCCCGCGCAGATGCGAAAAAATCCGGATGAAGAACTCCATTTTTGTTGACCGAAAAACATTCCGTGCCTCCGTGGCGACACAGGACTGCAAACCTTGGCCTGGCAACACTAAGCTGACCATTCCCTTTGGACCCGACCAGAAGTTGAGGCGATGGCAGCTGAACTAATCTGGATCGCAACCACGATTTGGATCATGGACCAATGGTGTGATTTGGCTTATTTTGCTTCAAAATGATTGACCTGTTGGATGGTTTGAAACCCAAAATCACCAATTTAGTGGTGCAGTTGTGCTGCTGCGTACTGTAAATCCTTCCCAGAAGCAGTGCAACATGTTCAGATGGTTGGACTGAACCTTGCAAGGACTTGAGTGAGGTTTACTGCCCTCAGAATCGATTGTTCACGTCTTGTCTTTTTGGGAGTTGCCCACTCCCACGTTGAAGCCCAAACACCACCCCAATGGCCCAATGACCATGCTTTTTGCTTCTAACGCCATGTCTGTTAGCTGTTGGCTTAATCCACATTTTGTTTGGCTACATCACCATGCCCTTTGATATCCTTGCTTGGAAGGAAACCATTGGTGTTCAAATCCACAATTGCTTTAGGCCTTCATGTTCGTCACTTAGGTGTATCTTTTTGCTGGTTCAAAGTTCAATCCCTTTTCCTGTTATAACATATTATATATATAACATTATATAACATATTATAACAGGAAAATATTAGAACATAATCTTGTTGATAATTCTGATAATTGAATCGGCCTTGTGAGTTTTTTACCCCCAATCTCTTGTTGAAGAGGCCGCGGGATGATGCGAATTGGATCATCGACGAGGGCGGCTGCTGCATCTGGTATGATGAACCCGACCTGATCAAAAAGGCGCCGGGTCGGGACCGCTGCTGTCCATGAAATACAATTTTTTGGGATGATAATCCATAGCTATTTTATGCTATTTTGATGTTCAGAATGGTACCAGGGTGTTGACTCATAGCCATGTCCAGGTACTTTTACCAACGAATAATAATAATTATTCACAACAACCTTTGCACACATGTCAGAGTCTTCGGGTGGAAATACTTTCTGTTTCGATCCCAGAATTAAGTCTCGAAAGGTAGCGGTGAGCTACCTGAGTTCCCCCTTGCGTAGCAAGTATTAGGGGGCGAGCGGTGCAAGTGCAAGAGTTTGGGCCGGTTATGTCTCGGTCCGCCTTTCAAGGGGGGGGGGGCCCCCCCCCTTCGATTCCCCCCAGGTCCGCCTCTAAAGCCGGGTTTGCAACATAGGCGGACTACAAGGAAACGCCAACAGCCGCACATGCACTTTCATCCACCACGTTTACATACATCCCCACCCCAACCGAAGTCAAGACCCGCACTGAAACTCGACAATGTCAGATTGCTCAAGAACTTTGTTTCGTTCACCCTAACAACCGCGATGAACAATGTCGTAGCAAGAACGTTGCGACGGACTGCGTTGCAGTAGTCTCAAAAATCGTACATGATATACCAGTAGTACCGCACAAGGCGGTGGCGGAAGTTTCAAAAATAGGAAACCTATAGGAGAGATTGGTTGTTGTGAATCAGAGATGGCAGAGCGAAGCCACTGCTGGACTGAAAGGCGATTGATCTCTCTCACTCTTGTCTACCTGTCTATCTATCTATCATATCTATCTATCTATCTATCTATCTATCTATCTATCTATCTATCTATCTATCTATCTATCTATCTATCTATCTTATCTATCTTATCTATCTATCTATCTATCTATCTATCGACCTATCCATCTATCCATCTATCCATCTATCCATCTATCCATCTATCCATCTATCCATCTATCCATCTATCCATCTATCCATCTATTTCTCCCTCTATCTATCTATCTATCTATCTATCGATCTATCGATCTACCGATCTATCGATCTATCGATCTATCGATCTATCGATCTATCGATCTATCGATCTATCGATCTATCGATCTATCGATCTATCTATCTATCCCTCTATCCCTCTATCTATCTATCTATCGATCTATCGATCTATCGATCTATCTATCTATCTATCTATCCTATCTATCCTATCTATCCTATCTATCCTATCTATCCTATCTATCCTATCTATCCTATCTATCCTATCTGTCCTATCTATCCTATCTATCCGATCTATCCTATCTATCCTATCTATCCTATCTATCCTATCTATCCTATCTATCCTATCTATCCTATCTATCCTATCTATCCTATCTATCCTATCTATCCTTCTATCTATCTATCTATCTATCTATCCTATCTATCCTATCTATCCTATCTATCCTATCTATCCTATCTATCCTATCTATCCTATCTATCCTATCTATCCTATCTATCCTATCTATCCTATCTATCTATCTATCTATCTATCTATCTATCTATCTATCTATCATATCTATCATATCTATCATATCTATCATATCTATCATATCTATCATATCTATCATATCTATCATATCTATCCTATCTATCCTATCTATCCTATCTATCCTATCTATCCTATCTATCCTATCTATCATATCTATCATATCTATCATATCTATCATATCTATCATATCTATCTTATCTATCTTATCTATCATATCTATCATATCTATCTTATCTATCTATCTATCTATCTATCTATCTATCTATCTATCTGTCTAGCTGTCTACCTGTCTATCTTTTGTGCAGTGTCATTCAGTGTAATGTAGTGTAGTGTAAGGTAGTGTAGTGTAGTGGAGTGTAGTTGTGTAGTTTTAGTTGTAGTGTTGTGGAGTGTAGTGTAGTGTAAGGTAGTGTAGTGTAGTTTAATGTTGTGTAGTGGAGGGTAGTGGAGTGTAGTTGGGTAGGTGTAGTTGTATTTGTAGTGTAGTGGAGTGTAGTGTAGTGTAATGTAGTGAAGTGTAGTGTAGAGAGTGTAGTGCAGTGTAATTTAGTGTAGTGGACTGTAGTGGCCTGTAGTTGTGTAGTTGTAGTTGTAACCTGTAGTGTTGTGAAGTGTAGTGTAATGTAATGTAGTGTAGTGCAGCAAAGTGTAGTGTCATGTAGTGTAGTCGAGTTAAGCAAAGCAACATCTGAACCGCCAAAAGTGGTCCGAAACCCTAGTGTTTTTAACATGTTAACTTCCAAATCTGCTTCGCGCCACAAAGGCGTGCACTTTTTCGAAACTCGACATCTCAGCCTCCAAAAGTGGTCCGAACATGGTGTGGTTTGTACATTTCGACTTCGAAATGTGCTTCGCGCCACAGCGGCGTGCACTTTTTCGAAACTCGACCTCTGAGCCTCCAAAAGTGGTTCGAACCCCTGGTGTTTTGCACATTTTGACTTCGAAATGTGCTTCGTGCCACAACGGCGTGCACTTTTTTCGAAACTCGACCTCTGAGCCTCCAAAAGTGGTCCGAACCCCTAGTGTTTTTAACATTTTGACTTGGAAATGTGCTTCGCGCCACAACGGCGTGCACTTTTTCGACATCTTAAGTGCCAAAAGTGGTCCGCACTTGGTGTGTTTTCTACATTTTGACTTGGACATGTGCTTCGCGCCACAACGGTGTGCACTTTTTCGACATCGCAACTTCCAAAAGTGGTCAGACCCTGGTGTGTTTTGTACATTTTGACTTGGGGATGTGCTTCGCGCCACAACGGCGTGCACTTTTTCGACATCTGAAGCGCCAAAAGTGGTCCGATCCTCTGGTGTTTTGTGCATTTTGACTTGGAAATGTGCTTCGCGCCACAACGGCGTGCAATTTTTCATGTCTCATCTCCCCATATGTCTCCGCACCCGCCGCTTTAGCGAGCCTACTTTTCGACCCTCCGGAACCACAAATCATTGGAAAAACACAGTGAATCGCGACTTTCCTACCTTTTCGCGCATCTGCATCTTCTTTCTTCTGACTCTTTCTCTTCTGAACTTTCTCTTCTCTCTGCCTCTGCCCTGCTCTGCTTTTCATCTGTCCATATTGTCGGAAGTTTAGCTTCTCAACTTCCTTCGACAATATAGTTAAAGATATGTATCTATATATATATATACACATAATAATTCCATGATATATATATATACATACTAAATAATCTCAATATACATATAGATTCGTATATATATATATATGCATACTCTACCCAGCAATTGTGGGATATTGCGCTTTGGCTAGTGGTTGCCGAAGCATAATCGCTGCCCCTTGCTCAGCATATCTAGATCATTTGGTGGATTTTCCGCAAGGGTTCCTCCAAGATATTCTCTTCAACCAAAAGACTTCGCTAATGACATTTCAATATGTTTCATATATATGTATATTCGTATATATATAGTTATCATGTATAATAACTAGAACACCTATAATGACTAGAATTACTATAATAACTAGAACATAATTATCACAACTATATTGAACCCCCCCCTTCGATTCCCCCAAGGTCCGCCTCTAAAGCCGCGTTTGCAAGAAGTCACCCCGCGGGCCCACTTTTTGCACCAAGATTCCAGCACCAGGATAGCCCTAAGTCAGTTGCTTTGGGTACATGCTGGGGTCAAAACACCACGTTTGTGAATCCCACACTGTTCTACACATGTACACACCAGAATCAACCCCATCCGCGTTGCAACAATGTGCTGCCCCCAGTTACACGTTGCCTCGCAAACCCCATAACCTGATATTTATACATATATCTAACTATATGTATGTATTTATATATATATGTCTGTGTGTCTGTGTGTGTGTCGTGTCCCCCCTCCCTGAAACCTACCTTTTTGGTACCCGCCCTCGAGTCCAAGCCCAGAAGACTTTTTTCGATATCCGCCCCAACTCCACCCACGTCCGTCCGCAGCGGATATGCCTCGTTCCCTTGCTCTCTTCTCCTGTTCCAACCCACGCCTACCTTTCGATCTTTCACCCTTCCCTCTCAAGTTCGAAATGGGCGCGCCTGAAGGAATGAGGTAGGGAATGGAAAACGAGATGGGGCCTGCCTCGCCTTTCAAGCTCAAACAATTTCTGTCCCCAAACAGGGGCAACAACAATGAACCACACATTGGAGATGATTTATTGTTGTGGATCCGCTTTTAGGGCGAACTGCGCTAAAAGAAGCCTGTCATGCACCCACTGTGCGGCGCCTACCGCAATGAAAGCAACAAATAGACGGGACGGGACCATATGAGACACCGGATTGAACAGGTCCAAGAAATCAGGGAAGAAAATAGAGATCAACATCGGGAAGACCATAGGGAAGAAAATGGGGAAGACGACGGGAAAGAAAATGGGGAAGATGACAGGAAAGAAAATCGAAGACGACAGGGAAGACGAAGTAGAGTCTCTTTCGCGCCTCGATCTAGGAAAGTTGTCGACAAAAAGCGCACAGGACCTGTAGCGAGAGCTCGATTTCAAATAAAAATCGCAAAAATCAGCCGTTCGGAGCACTTTTGGAAGATGAGGTCGGCAGAATGTGCACCAGACTGTAGCCAGAGCTCGCTTTCACAGAAAAATTGCCAAAAACTTGCACGTTCGGAGCAGCACCGGATTTGTGTGGTCGAGTCCCCATTGCCGGATTTGTGTGGTCGAGTCCCCATTGTGAGCGCTGCGCGAACGTTGGTCGATTTGGTGTGACGCTCCTGCTATGCGGGTTTGCAACCGGCTGCGACAAAACGCATTGGCAGTTTCTCGATGTGTTTGCTTGTTGGTTGATGATTGTACAATGCCACCAACTTTTGATGAGGGATAGGTGAATCATGGCAGACTTGCTATTGGACCAAGCAGTTCATCTCAGCCTCTTGATTCCGTTCTGTTGCTATTTTCCAAGAACTGAAGGGCATATTCTTCAGGGTTTACCACCATAAAATTTGTTTGGAAAAATGGTTTACTGCAAGCGAATCCCAGCGAAACTACCCCATTGATCATCGTTATTATGTGCCGAATACTATTTTCGATTACTATCACATGTGTTCCAAATATCACAAATCCCATGGCTGAAAACTTCAGTATCCTAATTGAACATGCATTGGTTATGCTCCCATGTTTTGATGTTTATATCCTATATTTTGGTGCTTAAGTGTTCATATTTAGGTTTGTTCCCATACCCCAACCAACATAACTCATCTAGAATGTAGACATAAACAAGTAACTCCCAAAAAAATCCGAAAAACATGTGAAAAATGCAAAACACATACACACACACACGTGCATGCATGCATGCATGCATGCATGCATGCATATATATATACACACCCACATCTATACAAACCTACCATAAATCCGAGCCAACCAACTAAATTCATGGATTGTTTGTCCACCCTCCAGGTCGAAACGCGTATCGGCATGCCCATGAAGGTCATGGATGCGGAGGACCGGACACCATGGGTGTGGGTCCAAATGTGATACCCATAAAACTGGATCGTTAATATTAAACATCGACCAAACTCTGCAGTTTTGCAGGTCCTGATTTTTGATGTATTTTCATAAATATACATACAGATAGTGGGCATATAATGGTATGTTTTGGGGGTGTCTGATGGGATACAGAAGTACAATGGGTAAGATATTGATGGGTAAAGTCTACTTATTAGGGTTTGACAAACAAAACATGATTCAACCAGCAACCACCATGTTATGGGGATATAACGATATGATGTGCCTGAAATTTTGGGAATTTACGAACAGGTGTGGCCATTT